CCACTGCCTCTGTTCCCTTTTCATCGACCTCAATCATTGCTCTTTGTAAAACCTAGAAAAGGAAATAACGTGGAAGAGACCGTTTGTGTGGCAGCGGAGAGGAGGGAATTAATTGACTCCCTTGAAAATTTTCACAGTGGTCCTACCCACAGGGCCATGCTCCTGGGATTTAGTGGTCCAGGGCCCATCTGCACTGTGAAGAAATGGTTGGAGGCTCACCAGAGATCCAGGAGCCCAGATGCGAAATGCATTTTGGGCATGGACCCAGGGAATCCCTGGCTAGTCCGTTCATTCTCACATGCATCAAATCAAAAAATATTTATTGAATGTTTACGTCATGCAGCTGAGCTGGTGCTCCTTAAAGGTTTTCAAACTGCCTGGAACCCCTGAGGACTTTGACTTTCCTCCTGGCAGGCAAGTGAGGCTGGGGGCATAGTTGGTCTTCTTTAGCAGCTTGCCAGCCCCTGCCACCCTGAGCACTTTTACTCCGGTTAATGCTATGACGCATTTGCTGGGACAAGCCCCCACATCCTGAAGCCTTTCTTGAATGCTGGCTACCTACACCTGTGCCACTTGTCATGTTTGAAAGGCCCTTATGTCCAAGAACCTCACATGATTTATGAGTTATGTACCTACATGCCTATCATACAGGGAGTTCATGGCAATATTTCAATGTCATAACACCTGGGAATGATCTCATTGTCTGGAGTGAATATTACTCCCTGGAGTAAGCAGAGGAGAATATTTAAGGGTTTACAGTTTAAACTTAATTATGATGTTTTGCAAAACAGCAGCAGAGTTCTTTGTCATTTATTCACAGCAGGAGTGCTTTCAGATGCTATTCTGCAGGATTTTATGTTTAATTGTCTTGTCATCTGTAGTGGGTTGACTGGTGTCCCCAAAAAAGGTATGTTCACATCCAAATCCCTGGAACCTGTGTATGTTACCTTATTTGGAAAAAGGGTCCTTGCAGGTATAAATCAGTTAAGGATCTTGAGATAAGATCATCCTGGATTACCTGGGTGAGCCCCCTAAATCCAATGACAATTGTCCTTATAAGAGACAGAAGAGGAGACGGCACACAGAGGAGAAGTCAATGTGAAGGTGGAGGCAGAGGTTGGAGTGACGTGGCCAGAAGCCAAGGAAGCCAAGGAACACTTGTAGCCGCAGAAGCTGGAAGAGGCCTAAAAGATTGTTCACTAGAGCCTTCAGAGGGAGTGTGGCCCTGCTGATACCTCGGTTTTGGACTTTTGGCCTCCAGAAGTGTGAGAGTATAAATTTCTGTTGTTTGTGGCTAGTTTGGCAGTTTGTTACAGCACCCACGGGAAACCGATACACCATCCCTGAGAAACCTGCGGTTGACTGCAGGCCAGGGTTACCTAGTGGATCTTACTTAAGAGGATGTTACATTTCCTCTCTCTTGGAATTGATGAATACATTTGTATGGGAAAAATGTTAACCAGAACCCCATGGTTAAGAAAGAATAATGAGATGTACCTTGCTAGCCATTTGGAAATGTGTGGGGCCACTTTCTTGGTTGTGACACTGACTGGGCTAACCACTGGCATTAGTGAGCATGGGCCGGGATGCTAACCAGTTTCCTGAAATGCATAGAACTGCTCTGAATGACAGACAGTTGCTTCCCCTCAAAACCAACAGCATTTCGACTGAGAAACACTCAGCTGAAGGAATTTCATGTGGAAGGTGAGAAGTGACTAAACTTGCTCTTAGCTTCAGAGGCACGAGGACCTCAGAGTAAGAGTTAGGGAAGTGTAACAGGTATAGATAGAGATGTAGATGGAGACAGAGGTAGAGGTAGATACAGACAGAGAAATGTAGATGTAGAGTTAGAGATGTAGAGATACAGTAGTAGATAAAGAGAGTTATAGATGTAGAGGTAGAGACAGAGTTATAGATACAGCCAGAGATAGAGTTATAGAGATACAGATATGTAAAAAGCAGTTTTAGCCATTTGTGGCTTGGGCTGCTTTTCAAAGTAGTAGTGAGTTCCCTGCCTCTGGAAGCATTAAAAAGAAAAACTAGAAGGCTGTTTTGTAGGGATATTATTGAGATTTCCACAGGGGGTGGGAAGTTGGGCCAGATGACCTCTGGAGTTTCACTTTGGAGGTGATGCAGTTTCATGAAATTTTAAAGCTATAGTCAACATATATGATAATGAATCTATAAAATAATTCCATTTCTCCTTGAGGGTTAAGAGAGGAGAGAGAGCTCTACGTAAGAGAAATTAGTTGAAAAAATACTTCAATAAAGTAGCTCAAAATTCTTAAAACGTCCAACATGGATGCTATTTCAAGTCTCTGAATTTTAAAACTAATTTTCTACGACAAGTAGGTATTTTATTACAATTAAATGATTTGCAAAAATATTTGTTGGTTCATGAAAAGGTTTCACACAAAAAGAAATAATCTTTGATGGTTACGAGGGATGGGAGGGGTGGGGGGAATACTAAATAGACGATAGATCAATGGTTACTCTGGTGAAGCGTAAGACAGTATAGATACTGGGGAAGCCAGCACAACTTGTACAAGGTAGGGTCATGGAAGCGCCATAGACACATCTAAACTCCCTGAGGGACCAAATCGTTGGGCAGAGGGCTGTGGGTACCGTGGTGTCAGGGAACATCTAGCTCAATTGGCATAACATAGTTTATAAAGAAAATGTTCTACATTCTACCTTGGT